TAAAAGTGTTAATATTGTTTATATACAATATTTATACCGTTTATATACAAGATATAATTTAGATTAATTAAGAGACGCAATGATGAATATAAAGTATATAGTTTTAAATATTTTAGACACTATTTAGATCCCATTATGACACATTTAATGGGTTAGGTTAATGTGACTGTAGACCTACTCACCCATTGACACATGAGTTCTAACAGGATGTAGTGAGGTTTGTCTTCATTGGTACTTTCGTTTGGTGACTTGTTTGAATATAATTGCACCACTAATTGGAGAAATAAGTAACACCCACAAATTTGCATTTGAATTTGAACCCAACTATCTCAAATCCAATAAGAAAATATTTGAATCTGATTTAAATGGGTTGTTAGAGAGATAACTTTGTATCTTGATTTATTCTTTAAAAATCAGAAGAGAAATTGATCAACTAAATAAAGTGCATGCTAGAAAGATGATTCAAGATTAATGTAATTCGAGATTTTTCTATGTGTATTCATGAAAAAAATAAATTATTAATCGTGTGAGATCAATTACAAGATCGTTTTCTCCACCCTTATATATATATCCTCTTACATTAATTTATAAAAAAATAATATTTTCTTCTATTCTCTTTAGAAATCTTAGAGAGCACCCTCTCTAGACACCCCCCTATAGAGAATTCAAGAATACTCCAAGTACTCATCACATCTTAAAATATATTTATAGAAAAATTAAATCTTAATTTCTAAATTTTTGTCATACTATGATTTCTTTTCCTTGAGTTTTGGAAATCTCAAGATAATTATCAATCTCAATATATATATATATATATATATATATATATATATATATATATATATATATATATATATATATATATATATATATATATATATATATGACTTGAACAAGAAAGATAATATGTGTGGTTCAATCATCTTCTCTTATTTATATCGGTAATTCAAATCATAATTTTGATATTTTTTTAAACATAAATATGATATATTTTTCAATCATAATTCTAGTTGGAGAAATTCTAAAACAATTACCTTAATGAAAAATGTATAATCTTTTACTATGTGGATTTAAGATATTTTTCAAGTTCTATAAATAGAGTTCTAAATAACCATAGTTGAGATTAATAAAAATATGTCTCTTCTTTTATGTTTCATTTTATTTTATCGTTTGATTTACTGGAAAAAACAAAATCAAGTCACTTTATAATCATGCTCGTAAGAAAGATAATACAAGTTGAATTCTTCAGATTTTTTTCTTGAATTTTATCCATTTACTATATAATTTAAAGGTTCATTAGATGATTCGTGCATATGATTTTTTTTATTTTTCTGTATAATTATGTTGGTTTTCATAATAAAATCCGATATATACTGCTCCAACACATACTACTCGATCTCATTGTCGGACAGAGACAGGCTTCATGTGAAGTGAGCAGCAGACATCACCAACTTGACACAATGGATGGGCGAAGGAGAAAGAGAAATAAGCTAACACAAGTCAAACTCGAGATAAAAAAGGATTGGGATGGGCATCATAAACCTCTAAGCAGCATCTCTCATCAAACCCTCCGTGGTGGAGTGGCCACAAGCCACCAATCAATCAAGTATATTGGCCTTCCAATGACAAGAATGAAAGAATAGCAGAAGAACAAGTGAAGAAGCTCCTCAGCTCTCTCTCATCTCCTCCAAACCATGGTGGAGGAACAGATAAGGACTGCACCTTGTGAAGTCAATGTCGCACGTGAGGGTACCTCTCGTAGGCATTGCTGTAGCAGCACTTGTTGTTTCCCTCTCTTTGGGAAGCTTCCTTTGACAGTGTCTATGTCTTCTTTCGAGTTCATTGCGGAGTGACTTGCATCACCACTGGGCAGGTGGACGACCAGATTCTCGCGGGCTTATCATGCAGGATCTGAAAGTGACCACCCTGAGATCGATTGTGTTTGTTTCGTGAAGGCACTGTGACACTCAGGTTTTAGTCTCATGGAGATTGGTTAGTTCAAATCGCGACAGGTCTTTTACTATTAGATTTTGAAGTGTCAACACTGGGATTCATGATGTTTTCTTTGGAGGAACTATAATACAGTGATCGACTGTTTTGGTTTATATGAATGATTCTCTTATTATTATTATTATTAAATGCGAAGGACATGAGAGACCAATTACGTTAATCTATATTATTTTGATGATTCATAGCTGATGTTCAAATAAATTTAGGTCATATATTTTTTAGCATGTCAAATCAATAATTATATTAACAACACAACCTTAAGTTTTAGAGTTGGCTAAAAAATTATACATTTAATTAAATTTATTCTATCTCTCTCTCCTCGGACCTTCTTATCATATGATTATTTACAAACAAAAATAATTTATTTTCTATCTTTCGTAGTATCTTGATATGTTCGTCTTAACAACATAGATTTTTTGTATATATTATTTCTTAATTATTTAACACTCGCATGTCAAATCAATGAGTAAATTAAATCATGACAAATAATATTAGAATCAACCCATGAGGTGCAAACACATTATGGTATAGAGTTAGTAAGGTTTTACAATTTTTTGAGAAATCTGAAGTAGATAAAATATTTACGACTAAGAATAATCATATATCGAAACATCAATGAAATTGATTTATCATCATTAATCCAAAACCAAGTGTTTTGACCTAATAATATAGGTTTATGAAGTTAATAAATTAATTATAAAAAACCAATGACAATTGTCCAGATTTGTTTCTTGGAAAAAGGAGATAAATAAAATGTTTATACTTTAGGATGGATAGTTCTTTTGGTGATCATTCCAAGAAATATTCAGTTTGTATCATGAGATCTGATAAAATATCTTGCATTTCCAATGAGTTTGCTGCTGTGATTTTGTTGGTAATTGATCCTCCTAATTCTTTTATTTCGAGTCATATGAACAAAAGATTCTCAATCATTATACTTCTTTAACTAAGTATTCCTCTTCAAGATCTCGATTCATAAAATATAAATAAAATTCCCATCCCAAATCAGTGCAAACGTGAGATCCAATTATTTAGTCATGTTGACTCGATTCACTGGGCTCAAAAGTAAAACAAAAAGTTACCTGATTCGTTCTGACCATTCCTTTTCTCAAAGGGAAGAACACTATGAATTTTTCATAGGCCACTCCAGTATCCATAGGTTTCAAATCAGATTAGTTCTGATCAAAAGTCAAAAAATAAGATTACACCTTAGCTATCTACATCACATATAAAGATAATTTACGTATAATCATTCCTTCAAAGTTTAATCGTCTTTTCGAATCTTAAGTTGATAAAATAGTGCTTAATAAGACATTATTTCTTGCTCACTCTTCAATTAATATATATCATATATTTATATATTGTAGTTTTTTGAGTTCTACCAGAAGGAGTGGAAGGAGGTGAAGGCTATCTGCAGTAGAAAAGGCAAAGAGGAAATGGAGAGCAGAAGTGTGTGTGTCTCTCTCCTCGAGTGAAGAAGAGTACTAAACAATGGCTTCTGCAATCTATGTGCATGCCTGCCTGCCTGTTTTCTAGCAGTAGGCAGTGCGTGTCCATCCACTGTTTGGCACCCATAGCTTGCGCAATGGGTGTTGGCAAAAGCCCTCCGGAGGAACCTTTTGGTGCACGAGGCATCGCGATCCTTCACTTGTATATTGCCTCTCCCTTTTGATCACACTTCGCCCACCCACTCGTGCAAAAGAAAGCATTGATGATGAGCTCGTTGCCTTCTAATCATTATAATGGTATGTCTTCCTCTGTCCTTATCACAATAATTAACCTCACAGGCCAATGTAGATCGAGAATAATGTAAGAGTGAGTGCGTGGTGGCCAGTTCACATACCATCTCCGGCTCCCCATTCCTTTCCTTTCCCCCCCAAAGAATCATATCTCTTGATTGGCCATCATCACATCTCCACCTTCATCAATACTGTGGCCTTCTCTGTGCAAGCCCACAAGAATCTATGCCACCCTAAGCTTACACTATCCCTTAGTTTGACTGCTACTTAAGTATTCATCAAATCCAACGATGGAATCAATCCCGGAATTGTTTTGGATTTCTTTTTGGTACAAGCTACAGCTCCAGGAGAGTAAACATGCATGCAGCACGGATGATGTGAGTCGAGGATAATAATTTCTATGCTGAGTGTTTCTACAGCTTGTTCAGATCTGTATGTATTGCATAAAGTCACAGCTATTAGTTCTGTGTTTTATGCCTGCGGATGCCAACAAGTTGCCCACTTATTAGATGATGCAAGTACTGTGAACATGGTCAATTGGGTTCGACTTCTTCTTGGCATTGCACTCATTTTGACTCTCCTGCTTGTGCATAATATGTAGCATTTTGATCCTCACAATTGTTGCGTTGACGTTTGTCAAAAGCAGAGAGTTAGATGGAGAAGACTTGACTGCAAAAGTCAAAAGCAGAGAGATTGATGTAGCTGATGGAGAACACTTGACTGCTATAGTCAGAAGCAGAGAGACATGGGGAACTGCTTACTGGTAAAAGAAAATTGACTTTACCTGAAGAGACAGTAAGATTTCTTGCGTTGACTCTGAACGATCTGACAAATGGTTGCTAGTAGAATCACTAAATTAGGTGCAAAGGATTGTTGGTTGAGCGGATTTGCAGCCATAAAGATACTGAGAGTGCAGTAAACCTGAGGACGTTGTTATGCAGCCTTCCATATTTTAAGTCAAAGCTGAGTACTTGACACTAATTTTAACATGTCGTGGGAGAATATAATAAACGTTGTGTTGTGCATCAGAAGATGTCTCACATGCAGCTCAGCTATTTCTTTACAGCTTTATGGGGCTTATCCACTCTTCTCTGTCCCTAACTGCATTGCCTTCCGCATTGAGAGAGAGAGAGAGAGAGAGAGAGAGAGAGAGAGAGAGAGAGAGAGAGAGAGAGAGAGCATTGCAATTTCTTTTTACTTTTGGAAAGCATATCGAATATTCATTTCAGAGACATATCAAACATCTCAAAATGGATGAAGAAAACTTGATCGTTCTTATCAGATGTGCTTCAAAATGCACAACTGACGATCTAACCTAATCTTATTAGGCGAGTCTGTATTGCATGGAACTCATATTGCTTTACATTCTCTTCGCAAGATTTGCTATGGCTTGAGGGGTGTCAGGTGAATGGGAACGCCATGCTTGGGCCTCAATGTGAGGACGTTGATCGGCGCGTGCCGGTAGTTCTTAGAGATGGTGAAGCTGAAGCTGGAGAGGAGCATGGCCAAGACTATCTTGGCCTCCATCATGGCGTAGGTCTGACCCACACAGTTTCGGGGCCCCGAAGCGAAGGGCAGGAAGTATCGGTTTATAGAAAAGGATTTTCCGGCGAACCTCTCCGGCTTAAACTCATGCGCATCCCTGCCCCATATTTCCTCGTCATGGTGGATCGCCAGCACCGGGATCCAAAGCGACAGGCCCTTTGGAATGTGAAGGTCGCCCAGCTTGATGTCCTCGAATGCCATCCGTGGCAGAAGGCTCGCCGGCGGATACAGCCTCAGCGTCTCGTTAATTATCATGTTAAGCTGCGACGGAGGCAGAAGCAGATGCAATGTAAGCCCAAACGTATTGATCTTTGCAAGGGCTTCCTGATCCAGGTGGGTGAATTGCTTACCACGGTGAGCTTGGGAAGATGTTCCCACGATGGAGGGTCGTCGCCGCAAACTTGAGCTACCTCAGCACGGGCCTTCTCCTGCCATGCCGGATTCGTCGCGAGGAGCATCATGGCCCAGGTAAGGAGTAGAGCCGAAGTCTCATGTCCTGCGAAGAAAAAGGTCTTGCATTCGTCGATCACTAATTGGAGGCTGTAGCTAAACCCATTAGTCCTCTTCTGGGTCTCAGCTAACAGCGTCGCGAGCAGGCCATTGCCATACGACGAGCTCCTTCCGATCTCGGCGACATCTCTGCGGCTCTGAATGGAGTCCATCAGCAGTTTCCCCACTTTCCTGTTCAACTCCTTGATCTCCCTGGAGAACTTACTAGGAAAGAACCTGCAAACAATCAAACATTAGGCTCAAAGACCGGAATAAACAATGCAAGTCTGCTGTTCGATGTGGATGCCAGTTGCCAGAATCAAAAAGCCAACTGGAGTTGCAGACAGTGATAGATCGACATGTCGGAGATGGAGGGACGTGAAGAGGGATGAATGCATCAAAGAGTACGTGAAATCAGACTCACCTGTTACCTGGAATCCAAATGTAGCGGCTGGTTCGAGCCGTGAGGTTTTGCAGTTGCTCAAGGAGGTGGAATATCTGCCTTCCGTTCTCGTAGCTGCTGCCGAACTCGGTGCCGGCGATGATATCTCCGGTTAGCCGAGTCAGGTAGGCTCCGATCTCCACCTCATCGTTGCCGGACCCGACAGCATCGCGCAGAGATGTGACGAGTCTATTAGTGCAGTCCACCATGTACCCAACACGAGTCTGGTGATAATGCCATCATATTTTTTCGTTGAGACCGACAGTTGTCGTCTATCCAAAACGATGCGCAGGATGTTTGTAGTGATATGCGTACCTTTAGCTTGTCTGCCATGAAGGCCGGGGCGACGACGTGACGTTGGTGGTTCCAGTTGCTGCCATTAGCCATCAACAGACCCTGCCCAATGAAGTGCTTCGACCCTTGCCGCTGGGTCCAGGACTTGCCAGAGACCTGCACATATTTGGAGGAGAGGAGCTCCCTGATGATGTCAGGATCCGTCAGGCACAACCGCGGCTCACTGCCGTACCAGTATATGAATGTCCTCCCTGTACATGCACTCGCCGGCGACCCAAACCTTTGTCAGACAAGATGATGCATACCGCCATGAACGAGAGAGAGAGAGAGAGAGAGAGGGAAGGAGATTGGAGTACCGTAGAGTTTGGACCAGAGGACATAATGAGGCATCAGACGGCCAACGATGTCATGGCTGATCGATTCCATGTCAGAAGAAGTCGAGCTGGCGACGAGGGCAGCGCTGTCTTTGAGGTTCCCAACCAGGAATTTTGGCTTGGGGCCATGAACTCCTTGCTTTGCCATAACCCTCCTGATTCGCCTAGGAATCCAGTAGTACCAGGAGAAAGTGACCCATGCTGCTCTCAGAATAAAGATAAGAAGAACCAGGCCTGTTATCAGCAGTATGACACCCATGGATACAAATCTAGAGAGAGAGAAAGAGAGAGAAGAAGGAAGAAGGGAAGAAGGGTTTAAGACCAGCCACAAACACACTCGGTGGCTCCTCTTTATAAACCTCGATCGAAGTATACTTCCTTCATTAAATAAAAGCACAAATCTATGGAGAGAGAGAGAGAGAGAGAGACAGAGGGAGGGGGGGGGGAGGATGATGCATCGGTGTATGACTGCATGCCCCAGTAAGGTAGATGAGATGACGACTCTCCACACTTTTTCGATGTAATGAATGCAGGAATCCTAATCATTATCTATCTGCTACCTCCAGAATTAATGCACTACATCCCAGAAAAGATTTAGCCATTAGCAGCGAATCCCACGTTATATGCAAAAGGACTTAACCTTGCATCAAAGAGGGAACATCTCACTGCACATTTTGACCGACTCATCTACATGCTTCCATTGACTTTATTCTCCCATGCATTGTGTGGTTGCCTATGTGCTTCCACTGACGTTTGAGGTAACAAGCAGCAAAGGGAAATGCTCCGGCAGCAGTATCTCTTTGTTCATCTCATCCGACCCACTAAATCTCCCTCCCACAAGGAATCGACCGCATTCCATTTTCCACTGTTTTCCTTGAAACCTTTCTTTGTAAAAGTTTCCGAATGGCTTAAACATGGAGTAACATGATAAGGATTCCTGTTTTGAGTGTCACTGTATTGGTCAACACAAACTGGCCGTGATGGGACGGCACTATCATACATGAATCAGGGTCTGGTCTTATATGCATCTTGTTTCACTGCCATCAACACCTTCCCTTCCCTCTTCGCTTCTTCCTACTATGTAAGCTCACAACAATGGGGACCGACCACTTTGTATACGATCGTCATACGTTATCGATTTCTGCAATCTCAGTGTGTGCTACTATTATGGAAAACCGATAGAGTGTTAGTGTGTCGTGTGCAGGCTGACTTAAATGGCTGTACCAAACATACAAAGAATCATTACATGGCAATAGAATTAAGCTAATCAAAATTACAATACATCTAAACTAGTCATTGTTTAAGTGTTGGGATGGGCAAGTGTTTTGGGGTTTCCAATCCTTGGAGAAGGTGTCTCAGTGAAACAAGAAAATTCTAAAAATAAGGATTTGATTATTCTATAAATATCTAATGTATTTAGGTTTTGATGTGTTTGTTTGTATAGGTGTTCTCTAAGATTTTCAAAAATGATAGGAGAAAAATACATAAATTCTTTGTATTTATGTGAGAGGATGTATAAGATGATTCATGCTGAGGTGAGGATAATTTAAGGAATTTCTAATTGATTTGAAGAATTTAATATTATTCATAGATGTAGATGGAAAGTATCAAACCATATTAATCTTGTGTTGACTTTATAACATATATATATTTTTTAATTTCAAGTCTTCTTCTCTTTCTCCCTATTAAAGCCTAATATTAAGAAATATTTTTAGAAAGAGAGAGAGAGAGAGAGGAGAAAATGATAAAAGAATAGTTGAATTTTACGTTTGTTATTTTGAAAATTAAGGGTTCTTTGCAAGAAAAATAAAAATAGAGATACTATGAAAGGAAACAAAAAAAAAGGGATACAATTGGAGGTTTTTCCAAATGAATTTACCCATTGTTAGGGTGTTTTTCCTATATTTACTACTTACTAAAAAGTTTTGTTTTTTTCCATCGTTCTACTTTTAATTTCTATATTTTAAATCTTAATTATTAATAGGTATCACTTGCTATCATCTATCAAACATTTATTATTTACAAGGATGTTATGTACACGTATGGAATTAAATGGACCATGGTCCAAACTTGCACGCGATCCACTTCCTTTGCTTTGCTTGGAGAACGGATAAAGAATACAGATCCCATGTATTGCACGGAATACAGTTCACTAAATCCAATGAATGAAATACCCAATCAATAGTCATATTCCATGTACTTCATCTTATGGCCACTTGCAATTTTTAGTTGGTTTTTCTTCTATTATAATTGCTACTTGTAGTTTTGTTTTTGTTCTATGGCTATTACTTGCAATTTCTAGTTTTTTTTCCATGATTGTTATTTGTAATTTTTATTTTTTACCTTAATTACAAATACGTATCTCGTGATATCATTAACCAAACATGTATGTTGTATAAAGGATGTTTGGATTAGTGGAATTCAATGGACCCTATTCTAACTTCCATGCATTCTACACGATCCCTTCCTTCCTTTGCTAAGAGGATGGGTAAAGAATGAAAGAAATGAGTAACTTTAATTTTATTAATATTAAACATAAATTTATAACATAGGGAGATATTATAAAATATAATAATTATATAATTTTTAAATTAATAATAAATATAAAAAATATTCATATAAATTATTTTATAATTGATAACATGATTTTTTTAGTTAATAATAAATATAAAATATTCATCTAAATCATTTTATAACATAGGAGATCATGTTGAGATCATGATCTTCATTATTTGATAGAATTATGATCATATGATATCATAATTTTTATGATCTAGAATTATGATAATATATTTTTAAATATTGAGATAATTATGATAATTTTATTATGATGTTTTTTTTAATAATATCCTTTCAAATATGCCCCCACAAGATAATGGTCTTAGCGGAGATATTAATCTTAGACCGAAGTAGAAGAAATTACTAGCAAGATAAATACTTAATAAGAGGATTTGTAAGTTGATTATAAGATAAGATATAAGAGATACATAGCTCACCATTTTAAAATTTATCATCATCAAAGTGAAAATAGATAATTATGTGCTTCATTTGACAATAAAATACATGATTAACACATAAATATGTTATCTTAATATTTGTCACAATATATAAATAGAGAATTATAGAATGTTACAAATATTTTATATAATAATTATTGAATTTAATAAAGTTCAACAATTGTAAAAACAATCATTCGATATTTAGTCAAAGATCTTGCAATAGAACTTTGTTTTTTAGAACTCCAATATATTGAATTATGACTAAAAAAAATGAAATAAGTACTAATAGATGTCCTGGCATTCTTATTACATATCCAATCGATATCCAAAAATACATAAAGAAATAGAGAAGAGTGATTTTGAAGAAATAAGTTATGATCGATAATGCCCTTTTAAGTACTAAAAAAATATTAAATAGTTGTCCAATGGTTGAAACTAAGCTTATGCATTAGTTAAGATAATTTATTCATTGTATACATAATGTATGGACAAGTGAATGTCAAATACCGTAGACCGCTAATAACCTGATAATACTCAGTGGCATCACTGAGATTAGCACTATCAAATAAGGTAAGAGAAATAATTTTAGAGATTGACATAATAATAATATTAGCTTCTAGTATGTTGGTGTGATCAAGAATGTTATGAATATATTTCTATTAAGAAAGAAATAAATCATTTGCCGTGTGGATAACTTGAACACCAAAAAAATAACCGAGAGACCCAAGATCTTTGATAAAAATATTTATTTCCAAACTACTAAATAAACTTATTAATTATTACTATTTTATTACCAATAATAATTAATTCATTTACATAAAATTGGTAAAAACATAATTATGCTCTCAGAAGAATAAATGAATAATAAATTATCAAATTAAGAATTATGAAATTCAACTAATACTCAATGTGTTCAAAATTTATGATACCAGGGACTGCTTGAGACCATAAAGAGTTTTGAGATATGTTAAGGAAGATTATGATTAATAAAGCTTGGGGGTTACCTCATAAATATATATTCTAAATTATAACCATGAAGAAATATATTATTTAAGTCTAACTATCAAAGTCCCAAATTGTTAGAGAAGGTAAGACATAAAATAATATAAATTATTATTATCTTTGGGTTAAAAGTGTCATGGTACTAAAGACCTGGACATTGATGAAATCGTTTTATAATAAGTCTTGCTTTATACTTATTAATGGACACATAAAGATTTTGTTTGATAAAAAAAATTAATTTGTACCCTATAAGATTTGATTTAGATGAGATATGACTAGGTATAATGTATTATTTCATAATAAACCATTATATTCTTCTAATATTATTGCTCATCATTCAAAAAATTTTAAGGCTTGGTTGATAGTAGAAGGGTTAGAAATTAATTTTTAGGATTAGTTTATGAAAATAAAAAAATATTTATTTGGTTTATAGACTTAATTTTTTGATCTAGTAATCATCGGATTAATTGGTGTAGGGTTAATAATATCTTTAGGACGGATAAGAAGAATTTAAAATATGGGATATTAAAATCAAATATTTTTATAAATTCTCTTTATTCATGACAGAGGGAGCTGTATGGATGAGATAACATATTGTTCATTATGCAAAGAAAGGACTTAGTAGATATTGAGTAGATAAAATATTTAGATCCATGGATGGGATTGATGTTTCAACCTAAATGGCAATGATAATATAGGATGACTCATGAATTTAGATGACACAATCAATAAATTTATTGAAAGTTAATTTAAGTAAAAGAGAGTCAAATAATTTATAAGGAAAAACATGGTTAGAAATAAAAATTATTTTAACCGATGGATTAAAACATTTAAAGGTAATTTAATTAGTAGAATATTTAAGAAAAATATATAGTTTTGATGACCTTTTAATTTATTATGGGAATAAGGTTTTAACCATATATAACATAAACACCTAAAAAATATAATTTACTATATATCGGTCACATGATACCGTAGTGTTGAGGTTTTTACTCGGAGATGTTGATCATATCATTATTCCCATAAATATTGATCATAATAACATTAAAAGATTTCTAAATTATTTTATAGAAACTTATCATCATTGCTATTCGTGATTTTTGGATCAAAGATATTTTTTCCGTCATGGTACAAGTATTTTCATACGAAATGATTACGAATTTAGTGGGCGATTGGCATTTGTTAGGTGAAACATTTCACGCATAATCGGTGTAAAATTTAACTAGATAAATAATAATGAAACAATTAATAATATAATTTATACTTGTAGTGTTTTTCTTAATGATAACTATTTATAATATTTAATTTTTTCTTACCTTAATTGCTAACACTTATCTCGTGCTACCATTGCACATCATACGCAAGGATGTTTACCGGGTGGAATACGACGGATGTTGTTCCAACATCCACGAGATCTTTATCGGGTGGAATCCGATAAAGAGCATGGATTCCATGTATTCCATGGAATACAACCAAATACCCAATAATAGCCCGATTCCATATTTTTCATCTCATAACAAATAAATATAAATATCACAAAAAGACGCCAATCATTACTCGCCCACCGATGGGTCGCGGCCAGCTATACCCGAAGAATGCACTCTCACCGGTGTGACACAAAACAGAGATGGGTCCCACCACATCATTCACAAAGTTTCGAGTCCGGGTATACTGCAGTCGCCGTAGTCCACCCCCACCACTACATCGGCGTTACCCGCTCCTACCCTCTTTTCCAAGGACGGATGCAAGAGGGTTTGTTTTTTACGCGGACGAAAGACGTATCCGGAAAGAAAACAGTAAAAATCGCGTTCTCGACGGATTACCGTGTTTGATCCGAAACATCAATAACAAAAAAATGCGTTCTTATTGGCGGGATATTTGTCGGACCCAGCGGGGCACCAATCCGGAAGGAATAATTTTTACCCACTGCTGTTTCGGTGTTTATCCTATTGCTCTATAAATACATAAAACGATCGCCTGCCCTTTCGCCTAGCCCTCGCCCTCGCCCCTCGCCCCTCGCTTTCGTCGGAGTCGCGGCACTATCAACCCTCGCGAGAGAGGCGGAGAGAGAGATAGCAGCGGTTGCGGAAGCGAAACATAGCAGGATGAAGATCTTCGTCAAGACTCTCAAGGGCACTAACTTCGAGATCGATGTGAAGCCCGAGGACACGGTACCACCGCCCCCCGTCCTATCTTCGCCCTAGATGCGATCCTTTTTCGTTGGCGAATCGACTGGTCTTGCTTTGTTATCTTTTGATCTTTCCCTGCCTATAATTCTGCCAATTTGATTGCCCTTGCTGATTGCTTGAACCCAATTTGGGCGTGATTCTGACGTGGATGGGAGGCTGAAATTTTGGGCAGTAGGGTTTAGGAAAGATCTTGTAGTCGAAGAAATCTGGGTTGCCTCCTGTGGAATTGTTTCGTATCTTTAAAATTAGGGCATACTTCTTGGGATATTGGTTTTGGGGTTGTTTAGGGTTGTCTGCACAATGAAGGGATAATTTAGTAGGGTTTGCCAATTGGACTGGTTATGTTTTACTCAGTGCGGGTTTTTGCTTTATTGCTTGACCCTTGCATAAACTACAGTTGATGTCTCAAGCAAACATGTTGTATCTGTTGACAACTTTAACCTGGGAGAAGGTATTTGGGGAAGAGAGATCATTTGTTGGACTCAGGTTTATTATGAATTTTCTCATTGGAGGTTTGATGCTTATGATTAGACCTTTACTTGCTATGTGAGATTTTGGGAGGGTCAAGGGGATGTATGGGAAAAAATCTTGAATGGTGATGTTAGGCATAAGTCATTGTTAGTGGTGGATAAGCAAGAAGGGTCATGATTTGAGAAACAAATCTAGACGGTGTAAAATAATCATGGTAGTTTGTACTGTTCTAGATGTGTTTGGAAATTTAGAAGTGAATAGATCTAGGTCTAACTCATTGATTTAGAAAAGCAGTAAGTGAAGAGCTGAGTGAACTGAGTTCAATTTGTCTCTTATGGATTATCGCCTGCCCGTGTATGTCAGAAATGGATGAGCAAGTTTCACTCTGGTACAGGGCAGCTAGCATGGGTCGGCAGTGAGCTTATCTGATGTAACAATTATTGGTCGTTCATAGTAGATTATGCACTAGTTATCAAGATACATTTCATGTGTTAACGATTTTAATTGAATGCTTATGTTTGGAAGAAAGATATATTGCAAGCATTACTGGCCGTTCATAGTAGATTATGCACTAGTTAGCAGGACATGTTGCAAGAATTTAGTTATCATTTTTATCTTGTCTCTCCTTTCCAATCATCATTTTTTCATACCTATTTGTCCCTTCTCCTTAGAGTTTATGCCTTTGCATGTCTTGCTGATTTGAGACGATGATTAAATGCACTGGTACCACTCATGTGGATACGGACATGCAGAATAGAGCCTTGCCTTCAGATGCAGTTAGGATTGTTCTAGAACTCTAACCTTTGTCACAACCAGATTAGTTTTATTTTATTTCTTGTCTTTTGCCTCAAGTATATTTAGTTTGCTTACTTAACTGTCTGGACAGTAATCATTGCGGTATGGTTGCTCTGCAGGTTGCTGCTGTGAAAAGATATATCGAGACGTCTCAAGGAAAAACTGTTTACCCAGCTGAACAGCAGATGCTTATACATCAAGGGAAGATTCTTAAAGATGATACTACACTGGATGAGAATAAAGTTTGTGAAAGCACTTTTCTTGTTATAATGCTGAGTAAGGTAGCCATTAGCTCTTGTGACTATCTTCTGATGCTTAACATTCTTATATTTGTGGACCTGTGACTGATTGTTGAAGTATTTTGACCATTGAGCTTCTTTTAGAAGCTAAGATGATTTACCATTTGCTACTATGTTGCTGGTTTCCAGTAAGAGAAAAATATAGGATATTGTACTCCTGCTTCACTAGTAGTTGGAGGGAGAGGCAAGCTCTCTTTTCTGGGTGTTCTTTATCTGGTGGGAAGGATATAGGACAAACCCACTATCTGGTGAATCCTAATTATTTTGATCCCACAAATTTATTTGAGTCTTTTATTGTATGTACATTTACTGCACTTATGTTGTGACAAAGTCACATGAATCTTTTGTTAAGTTGACTGCACAGGTGCTTCCATGTGTAATGGCATTCTTACTACAAAATCACATGGAATTCTTAATTTATATGTAACTAAACATGTACAGTGAATAGAAGACACCTTAATGGAACTTCTTAAGCATTTTATACTTGGCAGGATTCAGAATTCTTAAAAAAATTAAAATTTTCCAAGACAATTAACATGTTTTTTGGCATTTCTTTACAGAGAAGAGCCATTGAGCTCCTTAGCATCTTTTCAGCAATTAGCACTGCTCTCTTATAGTGGCTGCTTTAATTTTACTAGCAGTATGCTGTAAACAGAATTCAATGGCAGGAAAAAGACCCAAATAATTGGGCTGTTTCAGCTTCCTATTATTATTGCTGTTGTATTGACATTTACTAGGTTTTTCTTTATGTGCACTACTTGTGTGACTATCAAATTAGGAGGCCTCCATAAAAATTATATGTTCTTGTGTGATTTCTTTTGGTAATATTATTTAAATATTTATTTTTTTGTTAATTTGAGGTTTAACAATCATTATCAACTAGTTTTTCTCCTTCAGATATGAAAATTTATCAGTTTGACCTATATTTATCTTTTACTTGGTGTATTGTTTATGTGGAAGAACATAATTTTTCTTCCCTTTCACTGGTAATTTTATTCAGAGCACATTAACTAGGAACAGTTGGTGTTTAGAATTTTTTGTGGTTGGTAAATATTTTTCTGAGGTTTAACTAGAGTAATCTTAAGTCATGTTGAAATGCATGGTCATACTTGTAAGGGTAAGAATAAGGACATTGCTCTCTGTACATGGGATAAACCTTGCAGGTGCTGACCATGCACCAACAATCTGAGTGGCAATGTCCGTGTATTCAGTTTTTGGAAAAATATTGTTGTCAGTGAGTTAAATGCTTTTCACATGAATGCTTCTTTCTATGCCTGTGTTTATCTTCACATTTTTTTTTTCTGGTTTTGCATTGTTTAATTATTTTCTTAGATATTAGTCATGATTGGCTATCACATGGAAATTCTATAGATGTTTGAGACCTTAAGATGTGATGATGCCTACTGAATGAATAATATTCAGAGTACATTATGAATGGTTTCTAAGTGTGGTGTATCCTTTTACCCTTTCAGACTAAGGGTTCATCTAGTGGAGCATCGACCACTGTACAAGCTCCTGCAACTCAGGTAAGAAGACAATGCATGGATGAATGATATAACAATCTTCCTAACTGTATCTTCCTCTCTTTGTTCTGCTCTTGTATCTAAAATATACTTCCAATTCTTTGTGGATAATAAACACTCCAAAAACAATAGCAAATGTTTGCTATTACCTACACTTCCTTGGGTGCTTATATGTTTTGTGCTGACATGAATGGAAAATGAAACATTCTTGTCATAGGAACAAGTTATTTGGCATTTAAACTTGTCAAGTTTGAAAAACAATATTTCAGTCTCAAAATTTTCACACTTGTGTTTTTTGTGAATATAGGACATAGTATGAAAGAGAACCGTGTAAATTTATCGTTATGATTGTTGTTGGAAAACACAATGTTGATTAGGAAGCTTTGAGGTTTGCCTAGATCGACTAATTTCCATCTTCCATTGGTCGTTGCATTTCTTGGTGCATTTTTAGTTGGCTATTCTACTGATTAGTAGAATCAAATATTGCTACTAGGAAAACTTATTTGTGCTAATTACTGGATTTCTGCCAAAAGACCAAAATTTGGCCCTTGTCTATTAGCCGTCAAAGAGCACTTGAAGGCTGAAGCACATTGGGTTGATTGCTTCTGTTATATTCAGATTATTGCAGAAACTACTCTTTTGACAGTTTAGTAAATATCATGGCATAATTTTAATTCTTCTACCTGTAATATAGATTACATTGTATTGCATGTGACCACATATAACATGTTCTCTTGGCTATAAGCTATTGATGCACATTCTTGGGATGTTTTATGATGAAATTTGATGTACATTGTGTGTTCGGTTTGAAATGATAGCTGATGCTGGTTCCTATATGAATGCCGCATTACACTGTTGCATCATTGAGGATTACAGTCATGAATATACACACCTAGATATCTTTCTGTTTTTCAAGTTTTGCTGGTACGCATGAGGGTGAATGTAAATTTAGTGAATGCTTTCACATGAATGCTTCTTTCTATGCCTGTGTTTATCTTCACTTTTTTTCCTGTTTTTTTTGCATTGTTTAATGCTTTTCTTAGATATAAGTCATGATTGGTGATCACATGGAAATTCTATAGATGATTAAGATGTGATGCTTACTGAATTAATAATATTCAGAGTACATTATGAATGGTTTCTAAGTGTGCTGTATCCTTTTACCCTTGCAGACTAAGGGCTCATCTAGTGGAGCATCGACCACTGTACAAGCACCTGCAAGTCAGGTAAGAAGACAGTGCATGAATGAATGATATAACAATCTTCCTAACTGTGTATCTTTCTCTCTTTGTTCTGCTCGTGTCTAAAATATACTTCCAATTCTATGTGGATAATAAACACTCCAAAAACAATAGCAAATGTTTGCAATTACCTACACTTCCTTGGGTGCTTATATGTTTCGTGCAGACATGAATTGAAAATGAAACATTCTTGTCATTAGGAACAAGTTATTTGGCATTTAAATTTGTCAAGTTCAGTCTCCAAATTTTCACACTTGTGTTTATTGTGCATATAGGACATAGTATGAAAGAGAACCCTGTAAATTTATCATTATTATTGCTGTTAGAAAACATGATGTTGATTAGGAAGCTTTGAGGTTTACCTAGATCAATTAATTTCCATCTTCGATTGGTCTTAGCATTTCTTGGTGCATTTTTAGTTGGCTATTCTACTGATTAGTAGATCAAATATTACTACTAGGAAAACTTATCTGTGCTAATTACTGGATTTCTGCCACAAGACCAAAAATTGGCCCTTGTCTATTAGCCGTCGAAGAGCACTTGAAGGCTGAAGCACATATGGGTTGATTGCTTCTGTTATATTTAGATTATTGCAGAAACTACTCTTTTGACAGTCTAGTAAATATCATGGCATAATTTTAATTCTTCTACCTGTAATATGGATTACATTGTATTGCATGTGACCACATATGACATGTTCTCTTGGCTATAATCTATTGATGCACATTCTTGGGATGTTTTATGATGAAGCTTGATGTACATTGCATGTTCGGTTTGAAATGATAGCTGATGCTGGTTCTTATATGAATGCTGCATTACACTGCTGCATCATTGAGGATTACAGTTATGGATATACACACCTAGATATCATTCTGTTTCAAGTTATACTGGTAGGCAGGAGGTGAATGTAAATTTAGTGAATGAAGAATAAATATTCTTGACTTGGAAGAGTTTCTTTGTGGTTGTTGTGTCGATTGCCTTAATGGTGATATTCCCATTCTTTATCAAACTTTTATGGTATGCTGGCACCAATTGTTCCATTAAAATAAACAAAAATGAAAGAGGGGTGAAGGAGGAAAAAAGCAAGGAAGCTGCATACAGACTCCTCTTCCATCCTGTCTTTGTCTCTGTTAGATTAGATGCTTGAATTGTAACATATTGAACTATGATGGGTTTCACCCTATGATGCTTTAAAATGTAAGCAATTTATGAAAATGCTGAAGCTCTGAAGAAGTGTTGCATTTAATGAATTTCTTGTGCTTGCTGTACACATGCGTGATATTAACATTGCATCAATATTTTTGAAAGCTTCATGATTCTGTTTTCTTGTGTAGGCTCCACCTACTAATACTGCACCTCCTGTCCCTTCAGCACAAGCATCTGCTCCATCTCAAGCACCTTCAGCAACATTGCCTTTGTAAGTCTTTTATGGTCATATGCTTATTTCTTTGGGTTATCATATTTAGTTGCTTTGTACATATTCTGATTATTAAGATTTTGTTTTGTGGTGTTGCCCTGCTTCACTAAGCAGTGTACCTGCAAGTACACCAGCTCCAACTGCTGCAGCTGCTGCAACTCCTGTGGCTACCATATCGTAAGTCACCATTTTTCACTCATTTTGAAAATGGTTCTGTAGTCCTGTTTTTCTTTAAGGGACTTAATGTCCTTGTTTATGCTTTCTAATTCTTGGCATTATACAGCAGTTGGAGGCAATCTGTAGTTAGACATTTTACTGCATCAACTTTTTAATAGAACTGTTATGATATGTGCATTGCTAAGTTTATTTTGTTTGAGAGTTTCACTTTCTCATTTGATAAAGGTTCATAAATTGATTGGAGGGAATTATCCAACTGTATATTTGACATGTATATTTGAGAAGCATTATTGTTTTACACGTGTTACATATATTTCACTGTTTACTTGTAAAAATGATGGCATTAAGGTAACATCCTAAAGCAATATTTTAGTGAATGTTGCCATTAGACTCCGTGAAAAGGTCTGTGGTTACTCAAGATTCTGTTCTTTTATGTTCTCATAGACCAACTTGGGTAATTTTTGGTCCATAGTGTATCAAATATTAGATTGTTTTAGTCCTTACGGGTATGGTTCAACTTACAAGTCCATATCGATGTACTGATTAGCTATTGGCTTGGTACGTATTGAGCTGTGCCGAGCCATACCGAACATATTTACACATGGTATATGGGTGTGTACTGATATACCACCCTTACTAGACCCTTGTCAGATCGGAACATATCGCCCATATCGAGCTGTACGCTACGGTATGACGAACTTTACTTGTGGGTAGACTTCATGTCTTTTACTTTAAATATATGTATATTCATGATGCAGGCTAGAGAAGAAACATCTGTTGTGTAATGTGTCAATGTGGGAAAATTTAGACAATTTGTCCCTCTTCTTTTGATTCTTGTGGTGCTATTTTTTTTCTTTAATTATGGCCTCATTCTTGGACATTTTCTGGGTTCTTACATTCTAATATGTCTTCTCCTTCTGCTCATATTTTACTGGACTTGTTGATTCACCCTTATGTCCTTCATCCAACGCGTGGATTCAAGTTGTTCTGCATTATTTAGATGGTTTGTTTATAGAACTTGCACTAGCAACAAGTTGCTATTTTAGTTACAAACCTGTTCTACAGAACAGTGCTTGATTAGGTATTTTAGGTGCACATCCAAATCTTCCAGTTGACTTCATCTTGAAATTTGGGTGACATATTGATAAAAATTATGGAAATGGTGCATCCATTGCTATTTTCTGTTTAATTTTTTTTAGTTTTTTAAGTGTGAATTATATATTATTATGTTCTCCATTCTTTTGGTTCTGATTATATGATCACTCTCATCGACTTTTTACCTGTTTATAAGCAGCAGTGAAGTAGATGCATATGGTCAAGCAGCATCAAATCTTGTTGCTGGTAATACCTTAGAGCAAACCATCCAACAAATTCTTGACATGGGTGGGGGGACTTGGGCCAGAGACACTGTCGTTCGTGCCCTGCGTGCTGCATATAACAACCCTGAACGGGCTGTTGAATATTTATACTCTGTAAGTTTCATTTCTGTATTTCCCTCTCTTGATATTGTGATTGACTTTTCCCAGGATAGTTATAGGTCTCAATAGTTCACATCCCACAGCAAATTTGAGTATAATACATGTTCTAAACAACCTTTGCCTTACCACATGAGCCATGTAAGCACTCTTATGCCATTGTCTGTTTCTACACTGGAAGCCATTATGGGGAGAAAAAGAGTCTGAAGAGAAGCTTATATATGTTTTTATTGGGAAAAATCTAAGAATCTGATGTCAACAGCTTGCTCCTCTTCTTAGAAGACATGAGCTAAAATCTTGAGTTTTTAAAGACTGTTTTTTTCTTCACTTCTAGTGTTTAACAAATAGTTACACTGAACCACTTCAGTCAGTTCAGTTCTCTTTACGCTATGGAAATTGTTTGATCCTAATTGATGTGTGGATTTAATTTATCCAAATACGAAGACCTGCATGAACTTAACAGACAAGATTCAGATTTATTATTTGCCTGTTTGTCCTGTACCATATTCCACTTTTACTTTGGGCCCTTCTTCCTTGATTAGCAATATTGTTCAAGAACTTTCTTTTCTACTCATCGGAGAATTACTTCTCTTATGTCTGTAAGACCAATTTCTTATTGGGAATCATTGCCTGACTTAAAGAGCTAGCTCATATTCAGCAATTTCTATTCGTCTTCGTAAGGATCAGTTCAATCTTTTCTATTCTTCGTCAATCTTATCTTCCTTTTTAATTTGGTTTAGTCAGAAGCCAGGAAGCGGATCAATTGCTGTACTTCAGTTGACATTTCACTTGTGGGTGTTCTCTTTAGATTGAATGTTAGGTTGCTCTTACGAAAAGAGAAGTGGTTTAAGTAAATATGAGAAATGAGTGTCTTGTATGTGTAGCTTCCTGTTTTTTCTAATATGGTAATAATTCTATAGGGCATCTCCAACTGAAATTTTCTATTGCAACTAATTTTTGGCTTTAGCATGTGCATAATTTCTTTAGTAACCAATGCCAAAAATACCCATTTTTAGTTGTCTAAAGTGTTTAACAAGAAATTCTAATGTGTTTTTTGGGCTGTGCTTACATCTTCCTTGTTTTTAAACAACAAGATGATTTGAATCATTTTCTTGAGTTCAAATTTCTCGATGACAATCTGTGTTCTAATAGACATGTATATGTATATCAGGGTATTCCTGAGAATGCTGAAGCCCCACCAGTTGCACGAGCGCCTGCAAGTGAACAAACAACCAATGCCCCAGCGCAGGCTCCACAACCAGTTCAAGCTGCAGTTCCTTCTGGTGGTCCTAATGCTAATCCTTTGGACCTCTTTCCTCAGGTAACGGCACCAACTGTAGTCCATCAACTTCTGCCTTTTGTACATAATAAAGGTTGACTATTTTGTTTATGTTTGGTCTCGCAGGGTCTGCCCAATGTTGGGTCAAATGCTGGTGGTGGAAGCCTTGATTTTTTACGGAATAGTCCACAGGTTTCTTTGTGTTATGAAGTCAAATGACTAGAAAATTTAGATAGAGTTTTAAAATTCATTTCTCACATTTTTTGCAGTTTCGAGCTTTGCAGGCTTTGGTGCAGGCAAACCCTCAAATCTTGCAGGTATTTTTTATTGCTTCCATATTCCATGAGTGTTTTTAGTCAAATGATTTTGTTATTTCAATATAGCGTCTTATGCTAGTTTCCTCTGATTGACAGCCTATGCTTCAAGAGCTGGGAAAACAGAATCCTCAGATTATGAGGCTTATTCAGGAACACCAGGGAGAGTTTTTGCGATTGATAAATGAGCCTGCAGAAGGAACTGAGGGGTGAGGAATATTGTTGCATGTTTTCTAATTTTAATGAGGTTGTTGCTTATTCTAACCTTTATCAATCTTTGTAAAGCAGCAACCCTCTAGGTCAGTTGGCTGGTGGAATGCCACAAACGCTGAATGTTACTCCTGAGGAACGCGAAGCCATTGAGCGTGTAAGTTGATCTTTTCTTCAACATATTGTTTAATCATTCTGTTCTTGTGGTATTTGGAGAAGTTCTTGTCGTTCTTGTTCTAAGTAGATGCTAGCAAAATTGAAATTGTATTTCTTTCTCTTATTAAATAATTTTAATAAAATATTCAAATTTTTTGTGACTGTCTATGTCAGCCAATATCATTTATAATGCCATCACGATTTTACTTAATGAGATCTTTCAATTTGATTATTGACATATTGACATTGGTTTGTCTTTGTCAGCAATTCATGTCTAAGCAATCTAACAGACTTGTTAAGCCTCAGTTATATCGAAGATGCCAAGAAAGGTTGAGAAGTATTAATAGAATCTAACCCAGGTTAATCAACTCACATAAACCCTCATATAAATTGATACAGGCGGAGAATTCATTTGACGATTGGCCACAAGTTACCCAGGATCAGTATTGGTTTCTAATTTATTATGTATGGCTTTACCTGCAGACCTTTGTTGTGATTTTAGCATGTGATTATGAGATATATGGGTCTTTGTGGATCCCAACCTATTAATAATTTAAAGAAATTAAAGAAAACAAAAATATGCTCTAGTAAGACAACACTTTTTGTGATCATTTAACATATTGGGTTTGGTCCTAGGGTATTGACTCCTAGGAAGTTGATCTCCTTAAAAAAAGACCTGATCAGCCTAGTGCTAACACTCGATCCAATTTTAGAGATTAGTACAGACTTAGATCCATGTTAATTTGCTTTATCTTTGGCTTGCATTATCTTATTGCATGATTGAGCTCCTTTAGTGTCAACAAATGTATCCAACCTTTTTTCATGAAGCATGCTTTGTTTTTTAAGAAACTGTTCTTTGTAGTGGGAACTAGAAAGCAGAAAATTGGAGTTGCTTTTGTACTGAATTAATGGCAACTTGCTGGTAAAGAAGCATATGGAACTGCTAGGGTATGCAAATACTCAAGCCACTTGCAAAATTTTCCTGCCTACGCCAGGCTAGCTTCATAGAAACAACCCAAGCTTTTGCTCGATTTTAAAGTTTTATAACAAAAGAGGACTGGCTAGCATGGGAAGTCCTTTAAACAATAGCTTATAGGTCTTGTTTGTGTCGGTTCACAAAGTTGCAAGTTTTAGAATTTTATGGGATAAAAAATTCAGTTCTTTATTGTTTACCCTCACTTTTTTTCAGTAAGTTTTGTGTCAATATAAATCTTTTCTACTTTCGAATTTCTGTGGAAGTGAAACAATCTCAAGACTTCATAGATCTACTATTACTATTTTGCAACTGATTGTTGACTTGCATTTCACAAAAAAAGGGGGTTCTACAGAATGGGCCTGCAATCTAAACTCTCTCAAACGTAGGATTGGGGCTTGTGGTATATTTCTTGAAGTTCTATTTTTACTCATTATTTTGATTTTGGTTTTCAGTTTTGCAACATGCCCAGGTGCCGGTAACATGCTGGTTGGCTTTGATTGCCATGGCAACTATGACACGACAGTGTTGCCTTGGTACACTCCTGTATCATGCATTATAGCTGACCACCTTGGCATGGATTGCATTATCAAATCCATAAAATTAATTGAAAAATCTCTGGTGCAATTTTTGTCGTGCATGAGGTAGGATTACAATTGGACATCTTGACAATTGGAATGGGTATAGATAGTTGAACTAATTGGTGGATTAAAAAGCAGAATCTTTTATTTGAAGCTGTCATAAATTTTTCATCATGCATTAAAGTAATTTTATGTACTCATTTTTATTGATTTCCTGAGTTGGTAATTTTGTTGCAACTTATTGTGGCAGCTCGAAGCGATGGGCTTTGATCGAGCACTTGTGCTGCAAGTCTTCTTTGCTTGCAACAAAAACGAGGAGCTTGCTGCTAATTACCTTCTGGATCATATGCATGAGTTTGAAGATTGAACTGCAAAGTTATTCGAACATCTTTTGGGTTAAAACTAAATTGGCAGCTCCATGCTTATTGAAAGCATGTGGGTTGTGGGATGCTTTATACTTTGCTTAATTTTTTAGAATCTGGGGAACCATAATTGTGTATAAAGATTGTGGGATCATTTTAACAGTTTGAATCATTTTCCCTGTGTTGCTTGAAGTTAAATAATTCATTAGGGACTAAGCACATCGGTTCTCGTCTTCACACTTTTGCTGGTTTGTTCCTGTGTTTCTTTCTTCAAGTAGAAAATTAGTTCTTGGACTAAGCACATCTCACAGCTTAAACGCCGCTTTGGAACTAAATTGTGTTTGGCACAAGTGTTTCGATCTATATTTTGTCAGGTTTGTCAAGGCCTCAACCCTCGAGCAACTTCTCATGTGCGGAAATTGTGGGAAATTTGATATCCTTGTGTGTAAGGTTTGGCTGCTGACTATTATTACAGAGACATATACCTCCGAGAAACTATGTTGGGATTTTCTTGCTACACATGCTTCACTTCATTGACGTCCATCCTCAATGTTGGCCTAATGCACACACCTCTTTGGTTGGTATTTCGTAGACCGCTCATGTTTTGCGTTTCCCCATGATAGATCCTTTTGGCGTTCCATGCACCGTTAGATGGCGTAACCTTACCCATGAAGATGCCACTGCTGGCAACGACTTAATAAAGAGTGGGACCCACTTATTAGGGCCAGTGAATCCAATCATAAATCAGGTGTGTTTTTGGGTTATCTATGAACATGTAAAAGCATTTTTGCGCTTAAAAGCTAATCCCTTGCGCTGCCGCTCGACGTCTACCTTTCGCCCCTCCTTTCCCTCCCTCTCCTCTCCCTTCCTCGCGGTTCGCTCTCATACTCCGTGAAGGTGAACGGCGTCCGATTAAGCAGGTGAAATTGGAAATCCTCCGCCTCACGGCCTCTAACATCGTCCTCCTGTTCGATGACCACCGTCTCAAAGCGTCTAATCGCGCAGCATCCGCGTCCCCAGTGAGTGGGCCTCCCTCCTCTACGCCATTCCACAGCTTCCATCGATCCTTATATTAGAACGTTTAAGGTGCGGTGTTCCTTTAGAAAAGAACACGAAAAAGACCTTGTTCTTCCCTTCTGTTTGGGATGGATTGCCGGACTTTGTATTTTGGTACCGGTTCTTTGCATTCTTTTCCCACCAATTTGGATCTTACATTTGAGTTTGAATGAAAAAAAAAAACATTTGATTGTGAATTGATTTTGCATCAATGTTTTTATCTTGCAATTTCTCTCCTAATTGCCAGGCCTTCCTTTTTTTCGTTTTTCTTTTTCCTTTGTTAAATAGGTGAAGCTAGGGTTTTGAGGGTTTTGGGGAGAGGAAGATACTGCACTTCACTCGAACACGGCAACGGGGTTGTGGTCGGCCGGATTTCAAGCTAGACGGTAAGCTCTTGTGCAACCTAACCCGTCCGAGTTGTAGCGAGCCGGAGTCTTCGTTTCTCTCCTGGTCATGGATACAGCCATTTCAACCCTTCTCAACTTCCGCCTCCTTCGGCCGCTTGAAAGCAAATTCCTATTGCAAGGCCGTGAGTTTTGGTCCCTTCACCTTCCTTTTCTTTATTCCTTTTGTTCCACTAGCTAAATTTCTCTCTCCTTTCCTTTTCCAGAACTCTCAGGATCAGCATGTAGGCGACTCGGGTGCCAATTTCCATTAAGTAGTGGCTTCCATGAAAAATCGCAACCTTCACTATCCAAAAGGAGAACTGGATGTCTGTCTCTTGCAAGGAAATCCATGCTGTTCTGCTCCTTGAACAATAACACGACGCAAGCCCCATCTTTTGAAGCCAAAGAAAGGTTTGCTTTGATGAGGAGCGATGATGAAGCTGCTGACCTTCTTGGATCTAAGGAGAAGGGTGTGGCATCTAATGCCTCCTTTGAGGAGGTTAGAGCTAAGAGGTTCAACAATAGTTTCTTAAACTTCACACGACTTGGGTCCATAATTGATGATGCCATGGAATCCTTCTTCAAAAGTGAGATCCGACGGAGGCTTTTTGTGACGGCTGTGCTGATCATAGTAAGCCGCCTTGGCTACTTCATCCCACTACCCGGCTTTGATCGTCGTTTGATTCCAGATACTTACCTCAGCTTTGCTGCTGGATCAACAGGTATTCTTCTTTACTTAGATTTGGTCATGGCTTGGTAATTCAGCCCATATTTTAGGTATCAGACTGATGCTAGTCTTTGGCCAAACCAGTATAGGATCGGTACATGTTGGCATACCAACACATGCTATGTCTGCATATGCCGCAAAAATTTTCTTAAGATTTGAGTATACACAGTGTTGGGAGGCATGTGCTGCAGTTCGTGCTGCCTATCCAACAGACGGATAGGCCATCGGACCATGATTCAGCCAAAATTAATTTAAAGAATAACAAGGGAAAAAATAAATCTAAAGTAGAAGAAACTCTAGAAGTGTGACTTTCTAAAGATTGCTATAATTTTGACAAACACAAACCATACATAAATTTGTCCGTAGAATCATAATTGCTTAACGAGAAGAAAATTTGTAGTAGTTAACTAGGTGTTTCTCACATCTCTAATTAAAGAAGGGCTAATCTTCTCTGGTTAAGCTGATTTCATGGTAGTGTGAAGGTATCAGTTCTCATCAGATTGACCTCTTCAATCAGAATTAATCCAAAACCAATTGGGTGACTGATTCTGGTTGGTCTGTCTTGAGTTTATTTTAATTTCACAGTGAAATAACCTTTCACTGGTCTGGATTGACTAATCTTTCAAACATGATCTTGAGAAGCTTATTAAATTGTTCACCATCTTGTTTCAGTTGGCATTTAGGTAGATTGCTACAATTGTACTAGTTGGCTTGTATGGAGATACCTTCTGGTTGTGCAAAATTAATTTTGGATATCTATTAAATAATCAAGAATCTCACTTTTGTGACAAGCATGTGCTATGACATGAACTGCTTATGTGGGCTGTGCTGTCCTCGTGCAATTATATTTCCAAAAGCACAGATCAGTATAGGTGTTGATAGTCCTTGTGCAAATGCTGGCATACACTATCATGATACTCTGTGGTTAATAGTGTTAGCTCAAATGGCGCACTTTATCCAGGTCATTGTTGCTTAGTCTTATTCTTCATGTTGTGCAGATGAACTTGGTGACTTTACCAGTGAGCTGAAGCTATCACTTTTCCAGCTTGGACTTGGTCCTCAGATATCAGCATCAATCCTTATGCAGGTTTTGACTCATAAATTTTTATTTTTATGCAATCTTTCCCTTAATAGTGTTAACAAATAATGATAAGGTCAGTATTGTCTGTTGCCTATCTTACTTCAGTGTCTAGTGTTTTATTAAATATTCATCTTGGTTTCAGAGGTTATTTCCTATATATGAACAACTGTGCAAAGGTCAGTTTTGCATTAGGCATTAGGCATTAGGCATGTCTAGCATATCTTTTATGTGTTGGCTGACAAGTTGTTGAGATGCATTCCTTTTGTAATTGATCTATTACTATCATCTTTCTATTCTTTTTCTTGGTTCTTTAAGCTTCTTGTTTTGCATTAGTTAGGTAGGCAGTTATTATTTTCCTGCATGGACTATATCTCTACTTATTTGAAACTACACAAAGTTTGAAAATAGGACCTCTGGGAGTTCTGAAGTCATTTAGGCTGTTATGAATCCTAATGGTCAATGATTGACCTCATGAACAACTTGTAATGTAATTTAGAGAGAGGGAGTGACTTAATACTACAATTATGAATTGCATCTCTGTTGTTCTTGTACTTTTTCAATCACTTTTAACTCTGGTTTTTTATCACTTACTTGAACCTTCTCTGCATATGATAATTCTGTCTTAGATGTTGAGCTGAGAAGTGATTCCTTGCAACTAAAGCATTGGATTTCTATCATCTCTGCAACATTGTAGTTCACATAGTTGTGCTATTAGAATTTGTTTCTTGACATTACATGGGCCATAGGTTATGAATCCCAGTGGTCAATGACTGACCTCATAAACAACTTGTTATGTAATTTAGAGAGAGTTAATACTGCAATTATGAATTTCCAATTATAAATTTTAATCACAAGAGAGAGTGGTGTGAGAAAGAGAGTGAGAATGAGAGAGTGAGTGAAAGAGGCCGAGGGAGGGGATTTAAAGCCCTAAAAGAGGCTCCAATGGTCAATTTGATCGTCGGGTCAAACTTGACCCATTATCGGCTAAATTTTGACTGGTACCAATCTGCATCGGTCAATAGATACAGACCCGTAGCGGTTGATACCTCACCTATTTCCTGCATATCATCCGAAATGGACTGCTCTGTGTACCAACTAGCTGGTGGATTGGTACGAATGACTCGTTTTGTACCGTTTTGGATAGTTAGTCAAACATTGATTTGTACCAAGCACAACTCATGTTGGTCCATATTAGTATTGATTCAGTCCATGCCGGTGGATGCTAGTATGTACCATGATACAGCATGGAAGAAGGGGGGCAAGGAGGAGGTAGAGGTGGGGAAAAAATATTGGTCTAGTGGCAGGAGGTGGGTGGCATTGCGAGTCTGCAGCTTATGTATAAAAATGTGATGGGACCATTCGAAAGGGTGGTCCTCATCTTGGTTCATGCCCAGATCAATAAATACTAGTCGGGATGGTTGGTTCAGTTGTTTCCAGTGGTCTCTACAACTGGTATTTAGATTGATGTGTGATTGTGTCTGTATACCTTGCCTGCATATTCATTAACAAAACACTTATGAGAGTGAATGGAAGCAATTAGGATCCACTCTTTAATTGAGAATTACACAAGACAGAAAATTAATTCTGGTCGCAGAAAATGTATCAAGGTCCTTACATATAGGTATTGTTTCTTGGGTAACTTCTGCTTTCCTAAATTAAGGATGTCACTTTATTTTGTCAAAAGGTTTGTAGATAAAAGTCAATTGAGTTGTTTGGTGCATTAACTGTGCGCCATGTTTCTTCTGTCACTATGCTAAAGCTCATTAGTTTTGTGACAGGTTCTCTGCCATGTTGTTCCATCTTTGGTAAAGCTACGGAAAGAAGGTTTAGATGGTCATGAGAAGATTAAAAGCTATATGTGTGTCTTATACATCTCATGCAGTGAGACTGATGTTTGGAATGCAAATGCTTTACTTTGTCATCATGTGGTAAATTGTTGTTTAAATAAAACATATCTGATTTGATGCTTTCAG